CAAAGGAGCATTGGGGTCATGATGCATAAGCATGGTTGCGTTCGAAATGGCTTCCTTGACTTTGGAGAAAGCAAGTCTAGCCGCGTTGTCCAGAGACACGAACTTCGCAGTTCCTCGAAGTAGATCTGTTAGTGGTCTCATGACAGAGGCACAGTTAGGGATAAACCTTCGGTAATAACTTACCAGGCCATTGAAAGTGCGGAGATGTTTCACAGTGGTCGGCTCTGGATAGTTTGTGATAGCCGCCACTTTATCTCTCAATGGGCGTATACCTTTGTTGTCAATGGTATGCCCAAGGAAGCTGAGTGATTCAACTCCTATTTCACACTTCTGTAAGTTGGCTGTGATGCCATGTTTTTTAAGTCTTTCGAATGCGAGGTCCAAATGTTTAAGGTGAGTTTCCTTATCTGGACTCGCAATTAGACAGTCATCGATGTAGACATGAACAAAATTCAAACCACGGAAGACATCATCCATAAAGCGTTGGAATGTTTGTGCTGCATTCCGAAGGCTAAATGGCATGCGCAGGAATTCAAACAGGCCAAAAGGAGTAATAATGGCTGTTTTCGCGATATCTTCTGCTGCCATAGGTATCTGGTTGTACGCTTTGACCAAGTCGATTTTGGAGAAAATGTTCATTCCGCATAAGGTTGCAGTCGAACCGTAAACGTGAGGTATCGGGTAGCAGTCCGGAGTTGTTTTGACGTTAAGCCTTCGGTAATCACCGGTTGGACGCCAGTCGTTGCTATCCCTTTCGGGAACCATGTGCAATGGCGATGCCCAAGGGCTGTTTGACGGTTTGATAATGCCGAGTCCGAGCATGTGGTCGAATTCATTTTTCGCCGTTTTGAGCTTATCGAGGGCTGGGCAGCGCGCTTTGGATGCCACAGGTGCACCTGTGGTCGTGACTTGATGCACAACATTGCTGGTTATACACAGAAGAGTGTGCTTCGGTTGTGGCAGATTTGGATATTTCTCCAAAACTGCTTGGTAGGACGCGTCGCCCGATTGTTTGGTTCTAACGAGGGCTTAACTCGGACCTACGTAGGTGGTGCAGCCGACAGATGACTTTGTGTTGTTATCTATCACTCGTCAAAGACGAGCATCTACGAGTAGATCGTAATGGTTTAGCAAATCTATGCCAATGATGAGCATAGAGACGTCAGCTAGGAGGAAAATCCACTGGATAGGTTTACGTAAACCTAAGCCTAGGTAGGCACACCGCCTCCGAAATGTCGCGATTGCCTTGCCATTGGCTGCTTGGAGATTGGAGGGTGGGTCATGATAACGCTCCTTTGTCGGTGCTGGAATAACGCTAACTTCTGCGCCGGTGTCGACGAGGTAGCGGACTTTCGTTTTTATATCCATGATGCACAGCAAACGGCTGTTTCACCGGCTACGGTTGCTGTGAACACGGACAGGCGTGACCGTTTCCCAAGTTTGTGTCCTTGTTAGAACTGCATGGTTTACGACATTTTCTGGCTTCATCTCCGTAAGTGTTATGAAACCAGCACCATTCAGGGTTTTCCACCCTGTTGGGTTTCGTTTTAGGGCTACCACACGACTTGCTGCGATGCGCCAAGGTGCGTTTCTGTGAAGTGCTACGTGATCTAGGACTTCGAGATCGTAGCAACCGTCTCACAGAGTTGCACAACTTGGTCACCTCTGAATCCTGGCTCTCTGGTTTGTCGCAGATAGAATATACGTTGGAGACTGGTCTGCTGGATATCTCCAGTATTTTATCTGCCGAGGCTGCCAGGTCATCGAGTGGGACTGACTGGAGTGTCACCAACACGGTTTGCACCGGTTGCGGTGGTCCTGAGAGAAATAGTTCTCGGAAAAGGCCATCGTCAAATGTTCGTGCGCTGATTACTTCTCGCATGCGTGCGAGGACTTCAGTAGCTGAGTGGCTGCCTAGCTCGATGTTACGAAGCAATTCGTCTAGACGTTGGCGATCTGTGAGATCGCTTTTCTTCAAGAATGCGGCTTTGAGAAGTGCATAAGGATCACTTACTTCAGGATTAAACATGTGTGCTGTAACATGCCTGTTTAATTCCCGTGGTTGCGACCGTATGACAGCAAAAAACTGAGAATGAGGATCTCAGACGCCTCGTTCTCGAAAATCGGCCTCGGCATACAGAAACCATGTTTCTGCATTGTCTGGCCAATATGGCACGAGTTGGATCGTGTTCGTGGTCGACTTAATACGAATAAGCTTGGGAGTGTGGTCGGACATGAGAAAGTGTAGTAAATGGATATATAAATGTTATCGAAATGAAAACAATAAACAAATATAAAATGGAACAGGCTCACCAATTCAATACTTGTTATTGGTCGGGATATGTGATCACGTCGGGCTCACCAATTTAGGATTTGTCCTGGTGCGAACTTGACAGACGCAAAGACCAATCACTAATTATTCGGACTTGTTATATACCCACGAATACGAGACCAAGGAAAAACACGATAGCGTAGTCGGATGGAATAGTATATTTGGATGGTTGTGCCAAGATACCGGTGAGTTCCAACTAACTGGCTAGAGAGTCGAATACGAGCAGTGCAACGTAACATGACAGCGTGCCAAATGGCGAGGATGCTTGACAGGGTGCGTTCAGCTTGGCGAGTCCAGTTAAACTATCAAGGTCAGCATCAATGTTGGATCTCGTCAAGCCCCAGGCCATTGATTTTGGGGGAGTGTGTGACGCTACAAGCTCATCAAGAGAGAGAAAGGGTAGCTCAACGGTTAAATAAAGTGACTTTCAAGGGAAAATGCAACCTTTTCCCCCCTTTCACGCTTTTTCAACTCCCCCCCAGAAAAGTGTTTCCTCAATTAACATCATCTGTGTTTCCCCCCCCCTAAATCTGCCTCATTTCTCCTCTGCTGTCGACTTTTCCCCTGCACCACGGTGCAGATATATCTACATACTATCCTGATCTTAATATTCACATCAAATTCAGCATCTTTTCACTCCTGCTTCTTCTCTTTGCCACCTTATGCTATTGATAGGTCCTTTCTTATTTATTTTTTCTTGCCGATCTTAGTGGTTTCTCAGTTGATGTACTGATATGTGAGGTGTAGTGAATCGGACAGTTATGGAGTAATGCCCCGTCTTCTGTTCATGTTGATGACGATATAGGTACGTTTGTGGCGGTTGCTGCTAATCAGAATCCACATAAGTAGTGTATGCTGAGGGCAGCAGAAATCGTGGGGAATTATCAGCAGTGGGTACGGATGCTGCCCTGAGAAACGCGGGAGTGTTAAGGGCAAATCA